AATAGGATTCAGTCAATTGATTAGAGAACATCTGTGGGCAAATCACAACCTCTTTAGACCACGTGTTTCCAAGATTTAGAGAACTAGAGTAATTTTCAATTAAACTCACTAAAACCTGACAACTAGAGCTGTGTCCTCAAGGCTGTGTCCAGTTTAGTCCTGCGTATCTCAAAGGGTGGAAATTCCACACCCTCTCTGGGCAGCCCATTCCAGTGTTCAACTACCCCTACAGTAAAAAGGGGTTTTCTTTTGCTTAAGAGGAATTTCCTAATTTCAGCTCGTGCCCATTACCTCTTTTCTTGTCTCTGAAGGCCACTGAGAAGAGTCTGCCTTCAGTTTCTCTAGCCCTCTGTTAATCAGGTTAAATCAATACTGATAAGATGATCCTGAGCCTGGTCTCTTCCAGGCTGAACTATCTCTTCCACCTTCTGCTCATGGCAGGTTCTCCAAGATATTATCCATCTTTGTGCCCCTTCACTGGACTCCCTTGGATCTGTCTTGCCCTGGGAGCCCAGCACTGAACCCAGCATTCCAGGGTGTGTCTCAGCAGGGACTGAACAGAGGCTAAGGATCACCTCACTTCAGCATCTGCTGAAGATGTTCTGCCATGTGATTTCTGAAAGTCTGCCACAGACGTTGCTGAAGGACAGTTATATATGACATTAAATATAAACTCACATTTCTGCTTTTTTTTCATTTTCTTAATGGCTACTTTTATGCAGATAGGCAGAATTATGCCACCAAGTCCATGTTCGCCAGGAAAATTCTGGGGGAATTAACTCCCAGCAGATTGCATGCTAACAAGGCCCTTTTTGTGAAGATTGATTTAGTAGAATTTTCTACCTGTCCCCACACAAGTCATCATTTGCCTTTTGAATTTTGGTAAAGCCATTAGCAGAAAACATGGGAGCAGGAATATGCTCCTTTTCTCCTCCATTTGGAGGTGGGGAGCAGGGGAAGCTGGCATGCTGCAGTTTGCTCAGCAGTGAGGTGTAAGGGACATGAAACACAAATGAAATGTGAGAAGAAAAGATTTTTTTTCGCTGATTAAAGAAAAGGATGGTCCCTACACAAGTGGATTGCTGTCTCCGGCAGTGCTTGCTTTGATCCTGCTAAGCTTGTGTGGAATTAATTAGGTAAAACCCCCAGCATTTACCTTGGGCTGTGGTATCACCTGGAGGACACTTGGCATGAATTAGAGCTGGTTTATCATAGAAGCTTGAGCAGCAAAATTATCTGTCCAGTGAGAGAGTCTGCCAAGTAATTCACAGGAGGTGGCGAGCAAAGTGGCATTTTTGTAATTTTAATTAGGTTTGGGGTGGGAAAGAGGTTATCTTGAATAGAGCAAGAGGCAGAACAATGACCTTACTGAACATCTCATGGACTTCCTTTTATACAGCTGGGATATGAGGATGCACTCTGCAAATTTGCTCAGATGTTTACTCGCTATGTAGAGAATTTAAAAAGGGAGGGGGCGTTTTGTTTTGGTTTTTGTTTTGTTTTGTTTTGTTTTGTTTTGTTTTGTTTTTTCTATAAAGATAACAGGAGATAAGATTGCTGTGGAAAACGGCTTGGTTCAGGCATCAGAGAAAAGGTTGCTGTGACCTCTGAGTAGGGGTGGATGCACCGCCTGCAGAGGCTGGAAAAATGCCACCAGATGTCTCTGCAGCCTAAAAAATGTTGGGATGCTGCTGGGCACACAGCACGCCTGCAGACTGCCTTGCCTCCTGCCCTCGCCCTTCAGTAAAGAGGAGATTTAATGAAGGAAGAAAGGCGTGCAAACCCTGAGTTAAACCCACACATGACCCCTTCCTCCTCCTCCCCCCCAAACTCAAGAATTCAAGGTTCACAACGCCCATGTGGGTCACCAGTGGTTTCTCAGCAAGTGAGGGAGCCAGATGAGGCCACAAAGTAACTTTTTCTTCTTGTTTTGGGGAAAAGCATGTTGTTAGTGCAGTTTCATGACACTGCTTTGCCTTACACAGAGCACGTCTAAGGCAAAATTCTGACAGTCTTGTCTGCAAGGACACCATCATTGTGCTTGCAACAGCAGCCAAGCACCTTGGAGGCTTTGGAGGCAATAATCAATCCTATCCCTCACTGTTCCCATGAAATAGGGAAGTTCAGTCATTTACCCAAAATCTCACTTGGCATAAGTGCAGGGTCAGGCATGGGATGCATGGACTTAATTGAGTTCTACCCTTTAGGAGCAGTGCTGATTGCAATTGCATACAGAAAGATCAAAGTGTTTTCTCATTCCCAGATCTCAACCACAAGAATCACACCACCATTTACCACCCAGGACACCAATTATTTATGCTGCCAGTAAATGAAAGGAAGAAACAAAACCAAAAATCCCTAAACAAATCTAATTTTTTGTGTGTAGCTCAGACCTCCTATCTGCAATTTAGGGCAATGCAAAGGATAGCCAGGCTGGTTCCTTTTATTGCCCTGTGGGCAGTTTTAAATTTCACTGAGGAAGGGGGTGGTAAGGGAAGGGAGAGTGGCAAAAATTAGATCTGAGGGAGGTCAACTATATCCACTTAGCTGCTATTGACCTAGTTGTAACCAGAGCTGAGCCCAGCCTGGGTATTGGAATTCCTCTGGCCACGTCTCTGACAATGTGCAAGGCCTGAAAATACCTAAATCCCTGTAGCACAGTGAAGTCCCTGGGGCCTGAAAAGCACCATACATACTGCTTGTCTTGTAGCTGCTTAGGGTGGAGTGTAGTAAGAAAGGGAAGCTGGGGTAAATTTACTAGGGGATTAAGGGGAAGATTCTTCCCTCTTTCTGGGTAAAGTGTGGAAAGCCCCAGGAAATTACTGCTCTGTGTTTCAGTTGATGCACTGAATACCCCAAAACCTTTCTGAGAAAGAATCTTTACAATTAAGGAAATTTTGTGCTTTAGTCTCATTCCTCAGTTCCTGAAAAGTTCCCCAATTTGCAGCTTGTTTTACACCATTTAGGCTACAAAAATAGCAATGTTGAAGGGAGTATCAGACCCTTGCTTCTCTCCAGACTCTCGAGTGTGCTTTCCTCCTGCAAACACATGAAAGGGAAACCAGATACTCCTAGCCTCAGTATGAGAAAGTTGTGTTAATTTTAATAACTTACAGTGTAACTGTTATACCCCAATGCAGTAGCTGTGCTGATAGAAAGTAAGCACCAACATATGACCCAAAAATGTGTCTATTAAAATAAAATAATAATAATAAAAAGCCTTGGCTTACATTAGTTATACATTTGGCTGAAATGCTGACCCTTGGACTTATGAGCTGGCTCTAGCTCTGCTGGTCCACAGAAAGATTGAATTCATTACTTGGGAAGCCTTTATGGAGGGCATGCTGCATCAAATCCCAGGGAGCAACTTGGATGAATAAGAATGGACACAGGCTAATTCAAACCCTTCTTCCACCTTTCAAATCAACTTAGTGATTTCTCTCTTCTTTGTGGTTCCCAGCCAATTGTCATTTTCAGTGCATCCCATCACCCTGCAGTACGAACTGTTCTGGGAATACACTTCATTCCTCCAGCAGCCTCTCAGCAACACCAAGGAATGTAGCTCTTCTGGTTACAATTAAGAAATTCAACATACAAATGCTCCCCAAGTGCACGAGAACCTGCTTGTGACCTTCACACAATCTGAAGGAGTCAAAGCAATTTTTTGTGCCTTGGTTCCCGTCATGAGAGGAAGGGAGGGAAGTGGGGTGGGGGGAAACCTCCATTCCTCCAGAGAGGCAGGATGGTTTCAGGGGTCAGCTACATAGAAACTGGCACAGGAAAGTGCAGTTTCCAGGGCTGCATTCCCACAGAGAACTCTGGGCTGCAGAGCCACTGGGAGGATGCCAATGCTTGGCAGAGCCCTCGTGCAGTGGCACACTTGCTGGGTGAGCAGGTTTAATTGTCACCACTGCACGGCAGAAGGTGTGCTGGCAGGGCAGGCACAGGCAGCAGTGGGGCCTCCCTGCCTGCTGCCATGCTCTCCTGAGCACCTCTGGTCCCCAGGGCCACCGCTAAGCACCTGGGTAGGGCTGTCTCTTGCTGCCTCTGCTCCATCCCCATGGACTGTGTCTCTTGGTCTGAACTCTTCTGGGGCCTCTGCATGGGCCCACTGAGAGCAGACTCTACCCCTGCCATCTGTCATGTTGCTGTCCATGTGTGAGGGGGTACCAGTCGCTGGTTTTTCTGGGTCTGGATTGAAGGCACTTGAGACAGTAATTCATGTTTGGACTCAAGTGTTTATTATTTCTTATCAGTAAAACAGTCTCATTACTGTGAGTTTGGCAGCTTTTCATTAGCAAGGCACAAAATGGCTAACAGACTCTTGTTACAAGGTCTTTTAAGACTAAACTATCCAATTAAGAATTGACACCTAGATTATTTTCCCTTTTAACCCAATAACTGATCCCAAAGAGCCTGCAATGTGGACTTTTCTGCCCAATTACAAAATGCCACCCAAACCCATGAAAAGGAAGGAAGAAGAAGCATGAAGGAGAAACTCAGGACGACACCCTGTGCTCTCCATCTTGCTTCCATCCACAACATACTAAAAATCCCAAAACCTAAATTTCTCACCAAGTGATACACCTACACTACTCTCTATAATCTATTTCACACTTTTGGGGATTCTAGTTTATCTTGAAGTCTAGGAAACTTTCTCCATGAATGAGGGTCAAAGTCAGTGCTCCCCTGGGGCTCAGGGCACCCCAGAGCAGACAGAGAAATATTCCCGGTGCCCTGGGTTTCCACACAGGTGAGGCAGCTTAAGAAGTTATTACAGAATAGTTCTGTAATTCCTATTTATAGAGTCTATTTAAGCAAAACCCCATATACTGTTGGATTGCAAGCATGAATATATTAAATGGATTTGTTCTTGTGCTCCCTCCTGCCTCTCCTCAGGCTCTGCATTTTCAGCCATAAGCCGTCTTTAAAATTTTCTTTACCCTAAAACTGAGGATGACACTGTTGCTCAAGAAGAGAAATATGTTTGTGTTTTCCAGATGGCTGGAGACAGCGAAGGAATAGCATGGGAAGTACTTGATATGGAATCTCATTTTCCACAAGAAGCTGGGGGGTCCTTGGAGCTCTCCAATGACACCTCCTTTTCACTGAGGATCAGAAATGCGACCGGCCGAAGCAGTGGGACGTACAAGTGCACTCTGGGGGAGCAGAACGGAGAACGCAACCTGAGCAGCTCAGTCACGTTAAAAGTAACAGGTACAGTGCAGAACTTTGACTGTCCCATGCTCCATGTCAGGAAGGTAGCAGTTTTAAAATATTTTACAAACACCAGATCAATATAACCCATATTGCTTTACATTTTAGGTTGCCCTGGAATAGAAGAGGACAAACTAAAAAAATACAAAGGCGAGCTCTTCATGCTGACTTGCCTTGGGATTTTTTACTTGCTGCTCATCTTCTTTACCTGTGTAAGTAATTCTCTTTCTCATAAGCAAAGCAACAATACCAACCAAAATACCCCCACTCATTTTCTCTGCTAGCACTGCTTAAGCACAGCTGATCTGAATTTGGTGTCCATACTTAATTTATGATTAAACTCAGGTACACAAGGATAGAGTTCCAAAGAGAGCGAACTGCACTCTTATCTAACTCTGTTTAAACTCAAACTATCAGTTATTTTCCTGCACTCTCACTGCTCATTTCTGCTTCCAGTTACTCTGTGTAAACTACTTATCAGTTTAAGGGCATGGCAATAGGTCTTCTGGTTTAGTACCTGGGAACAGCATTTGTCCAAGATGGAGGCACAGACCTCTGGGAGCCCTTCCCCACCTGTGGAATTACTTCATGTGGTGGCATGATGGACATGTCCAAGTCCACCAACTTTTTGCCTCAGTTTCCACACTGGTAAATTGGTGTCAACCCCACTTCAGACAAGCATTTTTGTGAAGTCGCATCTTTCTTGTTGAACAGACATTTTTAAAATACATGGCGAAAAATCTCATTGAGGAGTTTATCCATACCTTTCCTGCTGGGTGGTAGTTCTGGGAAAGGAAGGGAGAGGAGGTTCTTGGGAAGCTCCCTCCACAGAAGAAAAACTATGCTTTGGGTGCAGTGGCAGTGAAGTCACCTGGCTCAGAGGTAGCAGGAATCTTGGGTTCCAGTACAGTGCATCACTGGCTGCATTTGTAATAAAAACCAAACCAGAACCAGCCCCTGCATTTTGGGAGGTCAGATTTAACTTTTGCTGCCTGTTTCATACTTGCCTCCTTGTTTTGCTCCTCAGCAGATGAATCATAACTGTTGATCAGAGTGTATCTAATTAGCTGTGCTAAATGTAGCTTTCCATGTATCTTCAGGGAGCAATTAAATTTATGCCTGTCTCTTTTTTAGATTGACAATTCTGCCAGTAATTTGTGCCATTCAGACGAAAGTTTGATGAGATAAATCTTGTAGGAATTTGTTAGGATGGAAGCATGAAAGCAAGGATATCACTCAGAAGAGACAGATGCCTCACATTCTTCTCGGTGTCCTGAAAGAATTTCAGATCTCTACAGAAATCTCTCCTCCCCTTACAAAAAAAACCAAAAAAACCAGTCCCAGTTTTAGTGGTGCAGTTATAAAAAGCAGAGCTGTGTAGTGAAGATAATCGCTCTGGTGGAATTACGTGTATCTTACTTTTGGGTGAGGCCCTGTCTCAGATATCAACCTAGCTTTCATCAAAATTTAATATTGACCTGATCTCACAAGTGAGGTTCATTATTTAAAATGCCTGTTAAGTTCTTACAGGTTGCCTTGTCCTCTTCTTTAGTGAAGATTGTGCCTTATCTCCACTAAACTCAACAGCAACATTCACTTTAGAACTCGTGAATTGGCAGGACTGGAGCTTTACTTTGACAATTTGATGAAAATATTTCAGGCACTGGCTTGCATTGAAGGCAGGTGGAAGGGCCCTTGAAATAGCTTGATGCAAGGCCTGTTGAGATGAAAATGTGAATGAAATATACATTTTCTTTTTTGACTGAGGCTTTTGTCCTACAAAGTTAATTGATTTAGCAAGAAACAGCAACTTTTATTGGTACTGGGTGCTTCCAGTGACAAACAAATGGGAAAGGTGTAATGAGCCAGGGTTAGCAAAGAGAAAAAGGAAAACCTTCAAAAGTTTTTTTTTTTTTTAATTGTCTTTCATAGGAATTCTCAGTTTTAAGCTTTCCTTTGTGTTTTCTCTTTTAGACATGTCTAAGAAAAGAGAGTATGTCTCCCAATTACCAAAAAACCAGACCAGATATGAAGCACATGCTTACCCTCATCAATGTACGTGAAATAACAACTTTCCAGCATTTAAACAGCGACAGCACTTGCAAAAATGAGCTCACTTCAAGTTCTGTGTAAGCTGACGTTGATGGCACTGTGGACTCATCAGTAAACACAAGCTGGATGGCTGAGTGGTATGGAGAGGAAATAAATGATAATATTTATTGTCTCTTCAGAGATTATATGAGGATAATATGGTCTCTTCAGAACAGCCTGAAAGTACAGGTACCTTGTCAGTGATCTGCTTGTGCTGGACAAGCCTTCGACAAGCACTTATGCACTACGGTAACTTTTGAGAGTTAGTCAGCTAAAAAATACTTTTACAGCTACGCAACATGATACAATGCTGTTATGAGGTTGGTATCAACTTTATTTCACTTTGCTGTGAAGCTCTCCTTTTTTGAGCAAGAATATGCTTCTAACATGAAGACTGAGTTGTAGGGAGGCCATGGCTGTGCAAAGCCAGCAGATGAAGCTCTTCACTGGACTGATATCTCCCACCTTTCTGAAGCAAACACAGCAGGTGCTGTGGTATGAAAAGAAATGTGTGCAGGGCTGTCTCTGATCTGAGCCTGATCCTGGATGGAGTTCCTTTACTGCAAATGAGATGCAATCCATCATGTGATGTTCAAATAGGCTGAAGAGGTAACTTCATGCTCTTGCACTGGAAGGATCAAAGCAATATTCACTCTTAAATCTTAGAGTGACAGACAGGCTGAGAAGGAAGATTTTCTCAAAATCTTTCTGGACTGAATAAACTTTTTATTTCAGCAGGAAAAATAGGGACATATTTTCCAGATTAATCTATAGGAAGCTTCAATGAGACTGTTAATCTCAAATAAGAATGAAGAAGACTCTGATATTAAAGACATGTAAAGATGATTTATTGTGTGGTTTACAGAACATGGAGCCAAACATAGGCAACACTTATGTCAGTCAAGTTACACGAGCGAGGACATTTCTTCCATGTCTTGGAAGAAATCAACCAACCATGTCTTTGGGATGTACTAAGATACATACATGGATTAGTATGAGATACACGAGTGGAAGATGGGACATATGAGCTTTTGGTGTTGGCAGTGTATGTATGTGAAAAAAGGACATGAGAAAAGCTGAACTCGGGCACACCATGAAGGGGAGAGAAGATTTGTTCTTTTGGACCAAACTGCAAGTGATCCTAGGCTCTGAATCCAAGGAACCTTCCTCTATTGGATTGCTAGTGTGGAAGGTGAAGGAAAAGGACTCTAAAGTGACTGTGGTTGCTTATGCCATAATGTCAGAATTTGAGCCCAAACATCAGAACTTGTACACCCTGAGGAGCACAGTCTTAAAAAAATACTTCAAGAACTGACCAGCAACATTAGAATTTTTTATGCAGTTTGGAATTCCAGACTGTCCAGGTAGACAAAAAGATCTTTCTGTAATCCTTTGACTAATTTTGAAGTGTTGATGGGAAGAAAGCTGTACATCACTCAGCACTGGCTCTGGGAGCAGGATAGATGTCTGCATTGCTGGAGTCCAAGAGGGTCCTGACCAGAATGACTTATAGTTACAAGGGATATGCAAATTGCCTAGAACATAGCAAAGTAATTCCACATTGCTTTTTTTTTTCCCTGTAATTTTTACATTTAAATGTGTGTAGGATACTTGAAGTAAAAATTCAGACATAACCTACCATTTGGTTTTGTGTGCTACATTTGGCAAATAAACCCAGGAAAACTCCGTATCAATTGCATTTTATTTTACAACTAGCGTAATTACATCAAATAAGGTAGAGATGTGATTCTGCCTCTTCTGCAGGAAAAAAGCATGTATGTGTGCATAACTGATTAAGCAATGGATAATTTTATGCACTTCTATGGACATAGCACCATTTAAATTTTCATCAAAATTTTACTTTCTGTCCAAAGTACATTATAACACACCTGTTCCCTACCAAAGGCAAGTCAGTAGGGAAAACACAAAGATGTTTCAGTCTGCTCACAGTTACTTTTAGACATGGCCCACCATCCTGGGTGACCTGTATGTTTAGGGGGCAAAAAAGATAAAATGAAGGCGTATGTGTTTCTCTCTTTGGTCAGAAAGGCTTAATCCCCAACAGTCATAGTTTGTTGGGGTTTATTGTCATAGAATGCTAAGAGGCTGGAATGGGTCTTAAAGATCACCTAGTCCCAGCCCCCCTGCCATGGACAGGGGCACCTCCCACTACATCAGGTTGCCCAAGGCCTTATGCTGCCTGGCTTTGAACACTGCCAGGGATGGGGCATCCACAGCCTCCCTGGGCAACCTGTTCCAGGGTCTCACCACCCTCAAAATATTTCTTCCTAATCTCTAGCCTAAATTTCCCCTCTTTCAATTTGTACCCATTAGTCCTGTCCTACAGCTCTTGATAAAGAGTCCCTCTGACTTCCTTGAAGGCCCCCCTCAGATACTGGAGGGTTGCTATGAGGTGTCCACAAAACCTTCTCTTCTCCAGATTTTCTTAGCCTGTCTTTGTAGGAGAGGAGCTCCAGTCCTCTTGTCAACTTTGTGGCTCTCCTCTGGACTTAGTTCAGTGGTTCCATGTCCTTCCATATCCAGGTCCTATGGGGGGACCCTATAGCTGGATCCAGCCCTGCAGGTGGATCCAGGTGGGGTCTCACCAGAGCAGAGCAGAGGGGCAGAATCCCCTCCCTCACCCTGCTGGCCACTCTCCTTTGGGTGCAGCACAGGATTCCATTGGGTTTCTGGGCTATGAGCGCACACTGCGCTTATGTGAGTTTTTTGTTAAGTATCACCCTCTAGTGATACTTAACTTCTCTGCAGGGCTGCTTTCAATTCTCTGCCCATCCTCGGGGTGTGTCTGAGATTGCCACAATCCATGTACAGGGCCTTGCACTTAGCTTTGCTGCACTTCATGAGGTTTGCACAGGTCCACCTCTCAAGCCCGTCCACGTTCCTCTGGATGGCAACCCTTCCCTTCAGCATGTCTAACACACCACACTGCTTGGTGTTGTCAGCAAACTTTCTGAAGGTTCATGCTCTATTCCACTGGCCATGTCACCAACAGCCTGGTTTTTGGTAGCAGGGGGGCCACAAAGATGGCTCCTGTTGGAAGCTGCTGGAAGCTTCCACCATGTCCAGCAGAGCCAATCCTTGATGGCTCTGAAGATGGACATGCTGCTGGCCAAGGCTGGGCCAATTAGAAATGATGGTAATGCCTCTGTGATGACATATTTAGGAAGAAAATCGAAACAAAGTCTTGGGTTTTGCTTCTAGTCAGGAGGAGAGAATATGTGAGGGAAACAACATAGTGACAAGGTCAGTGGAGAAGGAGGGCAGGAGGTGCTCCAGGTGCCAGAGCTGAGATTCCTCTGCAGGCTGCGGCGAGACCATGGTGAAGCAGCCGTGCCCCTGCAGCCCATGGGGATCCACAGGGCATGCAGAGATCCACCCACAGCCCGTGGGGGAGCTGCCCATGCCAGAGCAGGTGGATGCCTGGAGGAGGCTGTGGTCCAGTGGGAGACCCAGTGGAGAGAAGGAGTCCCTGCTTCCAGGCTGGAGCAGCCTGTCCTGGGAGGACTGCATCCCATGGAAATAGGCCCATGTCACAGCAGTGTTGGGAGGGCTGTCTGCCTGTGGGAGGGACTCAGGTTTGCAGCAGGTGTGGTTGGGCTGCTGCTCATGAGAGTAGACCCACACTGGGGAAGCTCACAGAGAGCTGACTCCTGTGGGAGGGACCCCACAGTCTCACGGGGGAAGGACTCCTCTTCTGGAGCAGTGGAAGAAAATCTTGGTGATGAACTGACCAAAACCCCATGCCCTTTTTCCCTGCATTGTCGGTGGGAAGGAAGGAGAAGCTGGGGGAAAACAGTGTTTTACAGGCTTTACTTCTCATTATCCTCCTCTGATTTTATTAGAAATAAAATTCCCTTTGCAATCTAAGTTGAGCCGGTTTTGCCCTTGAAGTGTTTCTCCCAGTCCTTATCTCACTCATGAAGCATTTGTTAACTTTTCCCCTCTCTGCTGCCTAGCTGTAACAGGGGAGGGTGAGCAAGTGACTCTTGTGGGTGCGTGGTGTTGGGCCAGTGTCAAACTCTGACATTTTTTTTAAATGGGGGTTATATCTCTTTTTCCAGTCATTGAGGACTTTACTTGACTGACACAATTTCTCAAAACTGCTGGCTTAGAAACTTTGCCAGCTCCCTCAGGACCTGCAGATGATTCTTGTTGAGTCCCATGGACTTGTGCATATTCAAGTTCCTTAGATGGCCTCAAACCTGAGAGGGCTCAGGGTCTTCATTTTCCCAGTCCTTATGTCTGTCTTTCTTGACTTGGGTGGTGTGGCTGGAACACTTGTTGTTGAAGAATGAGGCACAGAAGTCATTGAGAACCTCAGCTTTCTCTTTGTCCAGGGTAGCTAGGTCTCCTGTTTCCTTCTGGAGAGAGCTCACATTATCCCTAGTTTTCTTTTGCTTGCAACATATCTATAGAAACCCTTTCTGTTATCCTTGATATCCCTGGACAAATCCAAATTTAACTGGGCCTTGTCCCTAGCTTGCCATACAATTTCCCTGTATTCCTCCTGGATTGCCCACTCTTGATTCCTCTTCCTGAAAGCTTTGTTTTCCTCTCTGAGCTTGCTCAGCATCTCCTTGTCCACGCATGAAGGCCTCTTGGCATTTTTCCTGATTTCTCTCTTGCTGGAATCCATTGATCTTGAGCTTGGAGGAAGTGATCCTTGAAATTCAGCCAGCATTCTCAGGCCTTTCTGCTTTCCAGGACTCTATGGAGCAGGTCCTTGAAGAGGCCAAAGGTCTGCTCTCCTGATGTCTGGGGCAGTGATTTTGCTGTGTGCCCTTCTCACTGCCCTGAGGATCTTTATCTCCACCATCCTGTGTCACAGTGCCTTGGAGCACTGCACTCCCCACCAGCTCCTCTTTGTTGGAGAGCACAAGGTCCAGCATGACACCTCTCCTTGTTGGCTCCTCAGTCACTTGTGTAAGGAAGTTGCTTTGACACATTTGAGGAACCTCTGGGATTTCTTTTGCCCTGTCATGTTGTCCCTCTGGCAGACATCAAGGAGGTTGAAATCCCCCACAAGGACCAGGGATTAAAAGTGTTCAGGCACCCATCTGCCTACAGAAGGCTTCATCTACACCATTCTCCTGATTGGGTGGCCTGTGGCAGACTCCCACTATAACATCCCCTGTCCCTTCTGTCCCCCTTAATCTTCACCCACCAGCTCTCAGTGGGCTCCTCATCCTTTCCCAGGCAAAGTTCCAGACTCTCCATCTGGTCACTGACATCAGGGCTGCATTCCCTTCTTGTCTCTCTAGCCTGTCTTTCCTAAAAAGCCTGAAACTTCCCACTCCAAAGCTCTAGTCACAGGAGCCATCCCAATATATCCCTGTGATGCCAAAGTTGTCATCCCCAAGCAGATGTGTGCACACCTCTAGCTCTTCTATTTGTTCCCCATACTCCATGTGTTTGTGTAGAGGCATTTGAGCTAGGCCCTGGATAGAGACTCCAGCTTGCTGGCTGGAGTATCTGGGATGCCTCTGCATTATCTTTTTATATTTTTAAAATATTTTTAAATACTGTTTTTGGGAGCACAGAGAAGAGGAAGGATGGGAAAATTCACTTGAAAGAAGTTGATAATTAGTCAGCAGCAAAGGCTGAAATGCTTTTAAAATTATTTCTTCAGAAGGAAAAATAGGATCAGATCAGATAGAACAGAATGAAAAAAATGGGGCTTTGTGCAAAAAATGATGCCCATTATTTTTTTCCTGAGCCAAACTGTCTGCAATACAGAAGATTGGGCCCGAGGCATCAACACAGTAAGTCAATTTTCAGGCTTAGAAGTTTCAGGCTGGTTGATTCTGGGGATTTGCTGTAGGCCCAGCTGTGCAGTAGAAGTGATCATGTTCAAGGCCACTTAAATGTGTTAAATTGTTTAGAAGAAGTAAAGCAGAGAGAAAGTCTTATGCCAAGATGCTTCACTGAATCACAGAACTGGAGAGAAACAGGCAACTTCCTAAAGCAATGAAGGTGCTTGCACATCTGGGGTGTAAGGGACATAAGAAACTTTCATGGCATCATAGGACAAAAAATAACATTTACTGGAATTATTATGAATGAGAAAGAAGAATATCAGTATATCTACTACAACGACTACAGCACTAGCAGGAACAAAATTTTAAAAAAATCATATATTGTCTGACAATCTTGCAGAATGAGATACACATGGGTTTTAGCATCGTATCTCCAAAGAGAGTGCTTTCCTTGCAATATGGATCTGTGGAGCTAAGTAACCTGGTCCAAAAATACTGCCACAGCTAGCCCAGCATAGAGGAGATGAGCACATACCCACATTCTTTAGACTGTAACATTCCATTATTAAAGGGAACATGTTTCTGTATTGCACAATCTAAGGCCTGTTTTGATTACACAGGATGATTGCTCTGTTGGAAAAAAAAATTGTTTCATTTTCTACCACTCTTCTTATTATCTATGTCCCCAGTTTTGTAAAATACTGTAATAGCATAAGTGTGTGCCTGAACTGCTCTTGATGGTACTTTCTTACAATACTTTTTAGACTGAGCAGTTCAGTTCATGTTGATAAATCCATGAGGTGGGAAAACACATAATCTTTCTTTTATGAATAAAAGCTGGACATCTGGAAAACAGAAATCTCCTGCAAAAGTTTAGATCAGAATGAGGGAGATGAATTTTCCTGACTCTCCC